ATCCTCTCTTCTCCCTCTCCTCTCTCTCTCTCACATATCCTCTCACATATTCCTCGTCGCAACAACATTCTTCTCCCTCTCTACCTCCGTCCCTCCCCCCCCCTCTCTCTCTCTCTCTCTCTCTCTCTCTCTCTTCTCTCTCTCTCTCTCTCTCTCTCCTCTCTCTCTCTCTCTCTCTCTCTCTCTCTCTCTCTCTCTCTCTCTCTCTCCTCTCTCTCTCTCTCACGCACAACATATTCATTTGTTATGGGATTGTTATTCATATTTTCATGTCCTTGTTACGCCATAAGTCTTCAATTCATTTGGCTGAACATCACGACATAAAGTTGATAAACCATATATCCCATATCCAATCCATCATAAAAATGTTATCACTTATAAGCTATCTATACACATTCTCCGCCCTTGCTGCCGATGTGCATAAGGATCATATCTGAAAACCTTGTTCGTGTGGCAAGTCCTTCCTTCCAGGTCACACAGCTCCATCTAACCTTCCAATTTCCTGTGAGACAAAAAGTTCGTTTGAAGTGGCGACAGGAAATGGTAAAATCCTGTTGCCAAATATCACTTATTCTCTCGCCCTCGGGTGCTGGTTTCTCTCCTGAGGCAGATGGAAAGGCGCATGCAGTTATTCTTTTACCACTCTGTTATATGTCTGGACTGACTGCAGTTGCGGCTGCTGCTCACATACATACATGCATGCATACATGTATGTACAGCTACGCATGTTTATATTAATACACGCCGACCTTTGTGTGTTTGCTAGGCTTATCTTCTTTATGGAAGCGCCATTTAAGTAACTGCTTTACGCATAATTCCATACAACGGAAAATGCGATTGTGTAGTGTTGCCAAATTTAAGGCTGTACATCTGCTCGCATTTCTGCCTCGCAAGTGTCCCGCGCAATGTGTGTCCAAGTGGCAGGCATGAGTCATCGCCCATAGTTGGCCTAATAGCTAGAGATGCTTCTCTGCTCATGTGTTTGTGACACAAACATAAATACAAAACACAAATACAGAATAAAAACAAAGAAATACACAAACGCACACACACACACAACACCACACACACCGCCACACGCACATACACACACACACACACACACACACACCACACACACACACACACACACACACAACACACACACACCACACACACACACCACACACACAACACACACACACAAAACACACACAACAACACACACACACACAAACACACATACACAACAACACACACACACTAACACACACACACAAAAACAGTTCCTTTTTGGGGGGCCGTTACCTCGTGACCGCTATCGCCTTCCGTCGCCGAGAGGGTAAGAGGGTGATAAGGTTATCTGGCTTTTGTAATGGCTGAGGACATACTTCAGCTCTCTCTCTCCTCTCTCTCTCTCTCTCTCTCTCTCTCTCTCTCTCTCTCTCTCTCTCTCTCTCTCTCTCTCTCTCTTCCTCTCCTCTCTCCTCGTCTCTCGCAAACGCACACGCACAACGCCACACGCACACGCACACGCACAACACGCCACACGCACGACACCACACACACACACAGCACACACACACACACACACACACACACACACACACACAACACACACAACACACAACATATATATATATATAATATATATATATATATATATATATATATAATAATATATAATATATATATATATATATATATAATATATGTGTGTGTGTGTGTGTGTGTGTGTGTGTGTGTGTGTGTGTGTGTGTGGTGTGTGTGTGTGTGGTGTGTGAGTGTGTGTGTGGTGCGTGCGTGCGTGCGTGCGTGCGTGGTGCGTGCGTGCCCGTGCGTGCGTGCGTGCGTGATGTAATGACTTCATCTCCCGAAGTAGTTTAATCAGAGACTTATTAACACCCCTCCCCCCTTTCCCCCAATACCCTGCCACGCACCTAGGACCTGTCTGATACCAAGCCACTTTTAACTCAGATGGCATCTATTTTATAATAATAAAAACAAAAAGGAAAACCTTTTGTTCGCACACATCTGAGGCGAGAGACAGGTCACTGGGGGCAGTAGTGAGCTGCATGCAGTTCATGTAAATACATACAATTATGTGTTGTAAGTTGTTCACAATGTGTTTCTCTCTCTGTGTCTCTCTCTGTCTCTGTCTATCTGTCTGTCTTGTCTCTCTCTCTCTCTCTCCTCTCTCTCCTCTCTCTCTTCTCTCTCTCTCTCTCTCTCTCTCTCTCTCTCTCTCTCTCATCAACACACATCAACTCACACTCACACTCACACTCACACTCACACTCACACTCACACTCACACATCACACTCACACTCACACTCACACTCACACTCACACTCACAACATCCACACTCACACTCACACTCACACTCACACTCACACAGACACAGACACAGACATCAGACACAGACACAGACACAGACACAGACACAGACACATACACATACACATACACATACACATACACATACACATACACATTACACATACACATACACAAATACA